AACAACAGAATGTCTGGATGGTGTTCACATAAGGCTTGTTTTTTTTGCACGATAGAGCTTTAACCTCTAAAACGCTGTTTTGTATCCATACTGATCTGATACCAATTAAACTAATTAGTTGCAAAATGCTCCTTCAGCTGTTTCTTGTTTGAACTATTGACTTCTTCAGCTTTTTCTTGTCACATCCCCACTTTTTTAAGATGTTTAGCTGGCAAAAAGTTCAAAATTACCTTATTTATTGCAAAAAAGTACAACTTCTTAGTTTAAACATTTGATTATTATGTTTTATCGTATGATTAAAATATGGGTTTAAAAGCAACAAAGTCCATGCTCGATAATCCAGGTATACAATCCAACATTTTTCAGTCAGGTCATCTGGACAGTTTCTTTTTTTTTTTTTTTTTTGTGCTGAAATGTTTCGTCTTCGATCCGGAAGGCTTCATCAGTCAAGGAAACACAAGACCATCTTATCACAAGTAGAACTGGTTTGTTCTACTTTGGAGTAAGCTGTTGGGGGAAGATTCAGTTTTGTTGTGTGTTTCCTTGACTGATGAAGCCTTCTGGATCGAAGGCAAAATGTTTCAGTACCAAAAAAAAAAAAAACGGTCTAGATGACCTGACTGAAAAATGTTGGATGGGTTTAAAAGGTTTGCAGATCATTGCAATCTGTTTTTATCAACATTTTACACAACGCCCCATCATTTCCAGACTTCTTTTGACCTTGTAGTTCCATTAAGGTAGTTGCTGTTTCCTCCCAGCCTCTAACAGCTCTCTGTACTTTTGATGGTCATTTTGCTGCATTTTCTGTGTATTGTTGTGTGTGCAGGCAGCGCCGGCACCTCCGTTGTGTTCAACAGGAACGGCGATGCTCCGGGACGCTATGACCTGTTCCAGATCCAGCTGACTAACTCCTCCACCCCAGAATACAAAGCGGTGGGACAGTGGGTGGAGAGCCTTCAGCTCAGGGTGAGAGGTTCACGCACACCAGATGACAGACGTTTTCAAATGTTTACCATTTAAATAAAACAGATGAATCTTGTCATTTTCAAAACTGAAGTTTCCCCGACACACGATAAATACTTTCATTTCAGAAGTGAAAAATTACCATTCAGGCCTTTCAGAAGCAAAAACAAAGCTAGTCGGTCTGTGCAATTTAACGTAAAATGTATTCGGCTGCACATGAATGCTAGGCTTTCAGGAGCAAAAAGAAAAGGAAACAAAATTATGATTTAAAACCAATGTGTAAAAATGGCAGCTACATTCTGAAGTGTTTGACCAGTAAAGACATCCAAACACAGCTGCATCAGATGGACCTCGGCTGAAGTTCATCACTAAAAAGCAGAGGGAAGGGAACAGCAGCAACTTCTTAGCGTTACTGGATTTCATTATGCTTACACCGCATCTGTCAAAGAGCCGACAGCACTGAGTGCAGGGAGGAGGAAGGGCGTGTTTTCAACCCCGGTGTGACTCCACACACTCTGGCAGCACGATCCACTGAAGATGTTGATGCTGTTGGAAACTGACACCTGAGTTTTTACATACACCTCCTTCTGGAGCTCATTACTGTTGGCTGAACCACACATGATGGGTCTATGATCACATTGTTGCCAAGTGCACGAGTCTAAAGTTGACTGGAAGCTCTGAAAAAATGTGGACTTTAAAGCAAAGATGAGAAACTGTGATATAAATTTTGGCACATCCTGAAAACTGTAACAGCTTCATCATAAAGCTGTTGTTAATGTTAGGAAGGATTGAATAACCTGAATCTCCACACAGTAATACTCCTCCAAAGTTCAAGTTGTAAAGCTGCAGGTAGGAGCAGCTCTACTAAAATAAATAAATTAATTAATGTTGGTTTATGTAACTACTCTAACTGATCTCATTGTTGCATCAGCAGAATACTCTTATCATTCATGTGGACACTAAAAAGAAAAAAATATGATTTCAAATTCCCTACAAAAATGTAACTGGAACACCCCAAAACATTCAGTTCATCTTAAATACCAAGAAGCAAAAAAACAAAATTGAGTAAAATGTTACACTTCATAAGAGAACTCATGAATACTGCTACTCTAAATTACATTAATTAAAGTCCAGTAAGTGGAATTTGATTGCACAGGTGGAACAACTATATTAATATTTGATTGCAAAAGATTTAAGTTTGTTCAGTCGCACATGAAGGACCATCTGTGTCTCCGCTCTGAGCGTCTTATAAACACCCTTGGAGCTTCAAAAGAGTTCACCGTGACAGTGTTTTAGCTCACAGAAACCTGAGTTAACTTTTAAATTAACAACTAAAGCAAAACCCAGGAGGAAACTATGAGTTCGAGGTGTCCAAAAAAAAACTTGCCTCTGGTCTCTATGGCAACAGAGCTGTTGGTCTCATTACTGTTTCCACACTGTGTGCAATCGGGAGGATTTCCAGAGAGCACCACTCATTGTCCAAATAACAAACGGTGCCTTCGTGCCCTCTGATGAATGACAGATGATAATCTAGCCGGACAGTGCAGAAATAACACATCAGTCATTCACACACACACACACACACACACACACACACACACACACACACACACACACACACACACAC